TCCATTTAAATTACGTGTTTCAACAGTAGTGCATTTAAGAAAACGAATAGCTTGCTTTAGTTATTACATGGTGGGGAGGTAAGAAGGGTTGGCAGATAAAACTAGCCACTTTGCTATTGAAATACATCTATATCCTTAATCTGTGCAAATAATAGTCAGCATGGAGGGTCAGGCACTTCATTATCATAGCTTATTTTTATAAATTGTTATTCCCATTTTTTCAGAGGTGGAAGCTGTCATCCAAAGTCACTGTCCAAACTCTGGCTATGTTGTGTCTTTGCTTGCTCTATCCCTCCTCCCTTACTGGGCCAAAGTCAAGACCAGTGTTTCCCAACAGGCTTATACATCACCTTTGTTATATATAAGTCAGTGATTTTCACTGGTTTGCTTCAGCCCTGAATTAGTAGAAATTATTTATTTCTGAGTTCATTCCTCTTGTAAATGACGCAATCAGGCATTTGGTATTGTGAATATCCAATCGTTTATAGTCTTTTTCTTCTAGAAAGGTGGTCTTATTTGAAGCTTTCCCTGCTTGGTTACAAACAAAATGTCCAGATACCATACAACTTCTTTTTGGTTTTCACATTTTACAATCATGTAGATATTTACAAGCTCAAGTATGTTCATGTGAGCAGGATCAGTTCATCTACTTTTCTCCATCTCTGCTGCTATTGTCATTGGCCTCCAGCTGGTTTTCTTCTTTATGCCCTTACCATCTCTGAGTTATTACTTCTCAGCAAGTATGGTGGTCCCCAAGAACACAGGTTTTAATGGTATGACCTTCATATTCCCCCAACTCCCAACATCCCCATTCTCAGCGGATCAAATCTACAGCCTTCCCATGGGCTCTAACCACCCCTCTGGCAATCCTGGGCTCTGTCTGTTCATTATGGTACTCATAGCACAGGTCCTGGAACAAAATAGGTGCTCAATAAATGTTTATTGGATGAATGACTGGGTATTCATTATCTGAGTCAAGGGAAGCAGTGTCTACCCTGTACAGTAAAGCACCCAGCATTGGGCAGAACTGGGTTCAGAGACCAGCTCCAGTAATTTGTCAGCAACTCGCAGGCAAGTAGTGATCTTTATCTTCCCTGAGCCTCAAGTCTTTCATCTGTGAAGGAGGACTAGTACCCAGTCATCAATTATTGGGAAGATTAAATTAATGCATACATTGTTACCTGGCTTCACACATAGTAAACATTCAGCAAGTGTTAGCTATTAGTATCACTGTAATTGAATTTTTTATTTTCTGAGACCCTGGGCAACAATGAGTTTTTATTTCTGTTGATGAGTCTGTTTTATACATATATCTATGTATGTGAATACCTCATGTGCAAAGAAAGGAAAGGCTGTTTTGAAAACTACTTTGGATGGTTGATATTACATTTTCTAGGTACTGGAGTTGCAGAGTTGAGTGGGACAGGAGCTACACTTGTACATTAATGTATATGGCTAGCATGTAGGGACTAAAATACAGAGAAAGTTATGACCATGACTATGTGTACACGTGGGTAGTAAATAGTAAATGTAGTAGACTAGATGATCTGCTTGGCTGCTTCCTGCTTCCAAATCCTGATTCTCACGATGGTTTAGAGATAAGCTGCAAAACCACTCTGCCCTGCAAGTATAAAGGACAACATTTTGAAAGACCTGGGTATCACAGAATGCCACTTCAATCCTCTCAGTGTCTACTGTGTAGTCTCTTGAGTATTCAAATGGTGAGAGTATCCTGCCCCACTGGAGTTAGTGGTTGGGGTGGGTACTGGGCAGGTGAGGGAGGGTTTCTCAGCCTGGCCCTAAAGCCTGCTAAAGTCCAGCTGATCTGGGAGCCAGTTTCCTAGTTCCATCATTCTTATTTCTTCTGTAGGGAGGCAGATACAAAAAGACAGCCTTTTGTTTTGTTGACTGTGGGCATGGGCAGGCCCTCTGGGTGAGTTAACAGAATTCAAAGTTCTGGGTGTTTATGCATTGAGGACACTGAGGCCTGGGGGTGGGGGGTGGGGGAGAATGATTTGGGCATGGTCACAAAGCATCTCTGGAATAGAGGAAGGGGGAGAAGCCCAATCCTGGCCTCTCCAGCCAGGGTCAAATGGGAGTTTGCCTGGAGCTTCTCCTGCCTACCCATATCTCACCACAGCCCTAGGAGGAGACACCATTACTATCTCTTCTTCACAGATGGGGAAACAGCCTGAGAGAAGTGAGAAGGCTGGCCAAGTTCTCATAACTAGAAACAGATTCTCAGCCAACTGACCGCAGGGCCTGCCTGCCTTCCCAGCCATGAAGCTTTCTGGGCACAGAATAAATTAGGGGTGGCCCCAAGCAGTGAGGCCTGGATGTGAGGGTTGTTGGGCTGACATGTCTGACACCACGATGGATTCTCTGGCTTAGATCAAGCCTTCATCACTGCCTAGGCTGTGAGCAGCCACCAGTGACTGGTGCCCCTAGGATGTCTCATGGCGGTACAAGAGAAAGGGGTGCTTGCTAACCCTTCAGCCACCTCCCACCCCTCATTTCTTATTCTGTGCCCAGAAAGCTTCATGGCTGGGAAGGCAGTCAGGCCCTGCGGTCAGTTGGCTGAGAATCTGTTTCTAGTTATGAGAACTTGGCCAGCCTTCTCACTTCTCTCAGGCTGTTTCCCCATCTGTGAAGAAGAGATAGTAATGGTGTCTTCTTCTAGGGCTGTGATGAGGTATGGGTAGGCTGGAGAAGCGCCTGGCAAACTTCCATTCTAACCCTGGCTGTTTTCCTAGGTCCTATATGGGTCGAGTACAGACAACCCGGGTCGGGTCGATACATGGCCTGCCCCTTCCTTAGGCCAGTGCCCGCATCCACCTAGAGCCTGGGTATCCCCTTCTTTAACGGGGATCCCCACCCGGGTCTCCTGGGTAGGACCAAACGCCCACGAACACGCTCCAGGAGCGCAGATTCGGGCCCCGGGCGGGCTCGCTCCCGTCGTGTCTCCCGCGGGTGCCAGAGCCCGGACAGGCCTTCCCCAAGGCCCGCGGGGCCGGGGAGTAGCGGAGCCGGCCACTGGGCAAGGCTGTCACCCTCCGGCTCCACCCTGCCTCCTCGAGTGCCGAGCGCGCGCGAGGGGGCGCGCCCGAGTCGGGCTTGGTCTCGGCGGCGCGGCCCGCC